GAATTGATGGAAAAACCTGGTGAAGATCGATGCCCAGAGCAGAACCTTGGCAGCATACAGAGAAAGTCTGAAAATGGATCCAGTCCATCTGCAGCTAAAGGAAAAGGTCACTGGAATATTTAACTTTCTGCTTTTTCTATAGGTTTTAAAAGTGAACTGAGCTGTGAAATTTTATTTTACAGACATGTCCTCCTCCTCCTCCTCCTCAACAGACCTACCAAAGGACACGAGTACACCAAGTGAGATTCAATTCATCTGTTTTACTCAACTTAATCATATTTTGAATCTATTGTTGTCTGCAGGATAACAAGTATTTATTATTTCCCTTTTTTTTCAGCTGGTTGTGACCTTACATTTGTGTTAATCGGAGACTTGATTTCTGTTGAGACTGGAGCAAACAACATCTTACTTAACCTTGATGAGCAAACCAAATTTTCCTCCAAACTGTATGATTTGTGTGGTCAGCATATATCTGTTGTGAACTTACTTGGCCAACAAAGCATTAAAAAGCTCCCTTTAATTCAGGGAATTCWTGCTTTTCTCTTACTGATCCCAAATGGTCAGCATGTCAGTCATTATAAATCAGGAGTGCAGTGGTTAGAAAAAACATTTGGCAGACAGTCACTGGCATATTTAATGACAGTCGTGACCTGTAAATCAGGTGAAAAGTGTGAAGGTGCACTAAAAGACCTGAAAGCTTTAGACAGCTTTGATGAAACAAGATACCACACATGTTCAAAGAGTATGACAGAGGCTGAGGAGGTAGCAGATCTACTGACAAAAATAAACATCATGGTCTCTGAAAACAGTCCACAATGCTACACTGGATTGATGCCAGGAGAAAACACAGAGGAGAGTAAACATCTGGAATCCAAATCTCTGGGAGAGTTGATGGATCAAACAGGTGAGATTTTATTATTTATTCTTATACTTCTGACTGTTGACTAGGGTGACCAGATTTCTGACACTAAATCTGGGGACATTTCCAGCTCTGAGATAAAAATAGCTAAATGTAATGAAGATGATAAGAAGAAACAGTGACAGTTACAGATTCRTGTATTTTTACATAAATATCAGTATTTAAACAGCAGAATGTGTCTCTACATTGTTGTACTTCCTAAGAGTAATAAAACAAATAAAATAGCAAATAATAGAATGTAGTAGTAATGGAGGGTAAACTGTCAGTGAGTGTTGTACATGAATGTGAACATATATATTCTTGCAAAGGTGACAATGTAGACATGGACGTAATGTAATCACAWTTGCTTCCAAAAACAGATTAAAACATTCTGAAAATTTACAATTTAAATAAGAAGAAAAAAAATAGTATAGGTCCTCTGGATGGGTTCTTATCTAATGAAACGTTTCGTCTCCTCCAAGAGACTTCTTCAGTCTGAGAGTTTTAGGCAAAATTAAGGCTTTTAAGCCCTGCCTCCATGTGACTGATACTCACATCACATCACATGCCTATCGGTGACACCTAATTAACACTTATTGTTAACAGGGGGTGGAGTGATACTGGTAATTAATAATTTAAATAAGAATTTTTGTYTCAGATATCCTTAGAAGTTGGTTATTTTTAGATAAGAAAATTTTAAATGAAGCGGATGCCATTTATTGCATTCTGGTGTATTTCAACAGGTTGGTTAAAATACTTTTACTTACACAAACACTTTGATATGAGTAATCTGTCAATCAAATGGAATGGATTTATTCATGAAGCAAAAGAAAAGGTGCTGGGTGAACTAAAAATTATTGCAACCCCTGTGGGCTGTTTGTCCTCTTCTYGAAAAAATGTATTCAGAGGGACTATTTTAACTTTGTGTTATATTTAAGTAATGTTTTTATTAGTTTTGCAACTTTTTAAATATATTTAAA